AGCTACATCCATAGCAGAATAAGGGTGACTTAAAGGAAGAAAATGGGCATATTTGTTGAGACGGTCCGCTACAACGAATATTACTGCTTTACATTGAGAGGAGTCCCTCTACAAAGTCCATTGATATGTCGGCCCAAGGTTGATCAGGCATTGGTAGGNGTGACTTAAAGGAAGAAAATGGGCATATTTGTTGAGACGGTCCGCTACAACGAATATGACTGCTTTACATTGAGAGGAGTCCCTCTACAAAGTCCATTGATATGTCGGCCCAAGGTTGATCAGGCATTGGTAGAGGCTGAAGCAGGCCCAGTGTAGCCATGTTTTCTGACTCATTCCTTTGACAAATATCACATTCTGCAATATATGAGCACACATCATCACGCATACCTTTCCGATAAAAAAGCTCACTTGATCCGATGGAGTGTCTTTTGGACCCCAGAATGGTGGCCATTTGGCCCATCATGTGCTTCTTGTAAAATACGATGAATTAAGTTGGAATTTGTGCCTAGGGACCCTTATGCAGCAACTACCCGCATTCCCTGGAAAACGTTGGTTTAGAGTCTGGATCAGCTTGAATTTCCCATTCATGTTGGAGTTCTGACATCCATTTTACAACAGGCATAGATAGAGCCATAATACAGGTAGAATTTTCATTTTGCCAAGAAAGTGCATCAGCTACCACATTTTCATGCCCTTTCAATAAGAGATCTCAAAATCAAAACCAAGTAGCTTAGTCATCCAATTGTGTTGCATTAGGATAGTGATTCTTTGTTCTAAGAGGTATTTAAGACTGAAATGGTCAGTCTTAATCTTGAAATGCCTACAGGGCAGATTAGATCTCCATTTAAGTACGGCGAACACGATTGCAAGCATTTATTTTTCATAGGTGGAAAGTCCGAGATTATTTGGTGATAGGGCTTTAGGTCTTCCTTCTCGCATAAGAACTACACCCAAACCTGTACCAGATGCGTTGCACTCCACAATAAAGTTCTTTTCAAAATTTGGCATGGCTAGAACCAGAGTGGAGCTTATGGCCTCTTTGAGTTTAGCAAAGGCTATATCGGCTGCGTCATTCCAAATGAAACATCTTTTTTCAGCAAATTTGAAAGAGGCTGGCATATGTTATCGTAATCCTTAACAAATCGCCTATAACAACCAGTAAGCACCAGAAAACCTCGCAAGGACTTGAGCGAAGTGGGCTTTGGCCATTGGACGATGCTCTCAATCTTGGTCAGGTCAGTTGCCACTCCTTCATTTGATATTAAATGACCAAGATACTCGAGTTGATGCCGCCCAAATAGACATTTGGAACACTTATAGTAAAGATGATTTTGCTGCAACACTTCCAATGTAAGCTTCAAATGGAGTATGTGCTCCTTCCAAGTGTGGCTATATACCAATATATCATCAAAAAAAACCNTATCTCCAATCATACATCTCAAATACTGCTCCAAACACCGATTAACGACTTCGGTTTGTCCATCTTTTTTAAAGGTTATATGCTGAACTCATATGGAGTTGAATGCCTTGGAAGTTCAACAATTCTTTGGTAAAAATGGGATCTCGGTCACTGATGATGGTGGTATGCATCCCATGAAGCTTGAAGATGTTGTTCATGAAAACTTGAGCTACATCCATAGCAGAATAAGGGTGACTTAAAGGAAGAAAATGGGCATATTTGTTGAGACGGTCCGCTACAACGAATATTACTGCTTTACATTGAGAGGAGTCCCTCTACAAAGTCCATTGATATGTCGGCCCAAGGTTGATCAGGCATTGGTAGGGGCTGAAGCAGGCCCAGTGTAGCCATGTTTTCTGACTCATTCCTTTGACAAATATCACATTCTGCAATATATGAGCACACATCATCACGCATACCTTTCCGATAAAAAAGCTCACTTGATCCGATGGAGTGTCTTTTGGACCCCAGAATGGTGGCCATTTGGCCCATCATGTGCTTCTTGTAAAATACGATGAATTAAGTTGGAATTTGTGCCTAGGGACCCTTATGCAGCAACTACCCGCATTCCCTGGAAAACGTTGGTTTAGAGTCTGGATCAGCTTGAATTTCCCATTCATGTTGGAGTTCTGACATCCATTTTACAACAGGCATAGATAGAGCCATAATACAGGTAGAATTTTCATTTTGCCAAGAAAGTGCATCAGCTACCACATTTTCATGCCCTTTCAATAAGAGATCTCAAAATCAAAACCAAGTAGCTTAGTCATCCAATTGTGTTGCATTAGGATAGTGATTCTTTGTTCTAAGAGGTATTTAAGACTGAAATGGTCAGTCTTAATCTTGAAATGCCTACAGGGCAGATTAGATCTCCATTTAAGTACAGCGAACACGATTGCAAGCATTTATTTTTCATAGGTGGAAAGTCCGAGATTATTTGGTGATAGGGCTTTAGGTCTTCCTTCTCGCATAAGAACTACACCCAAACCTGTACCAGATGCGTTGCACTCCACAATAAAGGTCTTTTCAAAATTTGGCATGGCTAGAACCAGAGTGGAGCTTATGGCCTCTTTGAGTTTAACAAAGGCTATATCGGCTGCGTCATTCCAAATGAAACATCTTTTTTCAGCAAATTTGAAAGAGGCTGGCATATGTTATCATAATCCTTAACAAATCGCCTATAACAACCAGTAAGCACCAGAAAACCTCGCAAGGACTTGAGCGAAGTGGGCTTTGGCCATTGGACGATGCTCTCAATCTTGGTCAGGTCAGTTGCCACTCCTTCATTTGATATTAAATGACCAAGATACTCGAGTTGATGCCGCCCAAATAGACATTTGGAACACTTAACGTAAAGATGATTTTGCTGCAACACTTCCAATGTAAGCTTCAAATGGAGTAAGTGCTCCTTCCAAGTGTGGCTATATACCAATATATCATCAAAAAAAACTAGTACGAATTGCCATTGGAAGGGCTTGAATACTTCATTCATTAGGCTTTTGAAGGTAGAAGGAGCATTGGTTAACCTAAAGGGCATGACTAGAAACTCGTAGTGACCCTCATGGGTTCGAAATATAGTTTTGTGAACATCATCCGGGTGGACTCGGATTTGATGATGAATGGCCTGTAGATCGAGCTTNTTCATCAATCAGTACTCCTCTTTTGCAGCAACCCCAATCTTCTCTTAATTAAGAGATAATCTTGCACATAACATGTTTTACCGATTTTCCTCTAAGTACTGAGCTACCACAGAGATCTGGAACCCAAAAAGCCTTATATACAAAAACACCAGCATAACTTTTTTTTTTTTTAACATGAGCACCACCATAACATTAAACAAGATATATACACATCTATACAGAAACTAAATAAAATAAACAAAAATCTCATCTCGGTATCTTATAGAGAGAGAGAGAGAGAGAGAAAAGAAGACCGACATCGTTCGGGGCCAGGCCCTCCATCCGAGTAGAGAGAATCGAATCGGCCGGACATGCGGGCGTTGCGGTCGGAATCAGCAGCAGCTTCGCGGAATCCTCGGCCTTTGATTTTTTTAGGGGCGGAAGAAGAACCGCCGGTGATAGCGGACTTGAGCTTTGGGATAGGAGCCTTAGGCGAAGCATCGACGTCCACCGCACCGTCCTCGTCCATGAGATCGTCATCCTCGGGCTCAAAGTCCACCGCCTCCACCTCTGCGTTCGCCATTATTTCTCTCTCTCTATCTCTGTCCTCTCCCCAGAATCTCTCTTTTCCGGAGGAAGTGCTTGCGACTCTGCGGACCACTGCCTGACTGCCGAGGAACTTCTATTATATGTGCTTTGTAAAAGGGGCGAGGGTTGAGACTTGAGAGTCATTAAGACTTCGGAAGACAAATGAATAAAAACAAGGGTTAATCTCATTTTGCATTCCGAAAAATTGTTCGAATTTTAATTTATACCTTTAAAAATTAAAAATTTTAATTTATACCTTCAAAGATAAAAATTTATATCAATGTACACCCTCAAAGATTAAAAATTTTAATTTATACCTTCAAAGATAAAAATTTGTATCAATGTGCACCCCCAAAGANCAAGTATGACTGGGGATGAAAAAGGACTCACACTGGGTTGAATGGTCCCTATATCCGGCAGCTCTTTCACAATTATCACAGCCACCCAAAGGAAGGGGGCACATATCCGTCTCGAAAAGGGTACCTTGCATAATCCATTGAAGTTGTTTGCACATAGCAGAATTAGTGATCCAGGTGCCATCCACTACTGTACAAGAGAGGGGGCTGGTACAATGGATTGTGCAGCCAGTTCTTTTAGCAACCAAAAGATCTAAGAAATTGTGGATGCTGCCTGAATCTATGAGAATGGTGACAGGTTTGCGTTTGATAAAACCTCATACCCGCATTATGTGATATGAGATGGAAACGACTAAGGCATGCACAAAGATTATGGGTTCTTCTTTATCCTCTTCTATGTGGTCAGCATCATTTACTTCAGCAAGTTCATCAACGTTATCTGTGTCTTCACCTTCCAAGAGAAACAAGTAATGCCTTTTGCACTGATGTCCAAACACATACGGTTCATCACAATGATAACAGAGACCTTTTTGCTCAACGTGCGTCCATTTCCTCTTGAAATATGCGGCGAATGGGCGGGAGAGTCTCTTGAGCAATAGATTTATGAGCGGCTGATTTATGAGTTGTTGAGAACCCATTGGTGTGTTAGCCCTGAGAGAGGCTTGGTTTCTCTGATCACAGCTTCCATGGTGTCCTCCTGCAAGCGTGCAAGGCCTATTGCTTGTGCAAGAGCAGTAGGTTCAAACATAGTTACACCATTTTCAACAGAATCTTTTACACCGCTTATGAAACAGCTTACAAAAAATTCCACAATTTTTGGCCGTTTCATAGATTTGAAACCATCCAAGGGCCTTCCCCTCCAGGTGGACTGAAGCAAAAATAAACCCTGTCATATTCCTTAACACCGTTATAAGTAAGGAAGTGTTTGCACCTGTAAATCCATCCACTTGGGTTGTTTCCATCAAAGTGAGGGAAGTCCTACCTAGCATATTTGGTCAAAACAGCCTCGAACCTTGGCAGCACAGAGCTTGACTGATAAGTGCGTTCAGTCCTCCTTGATAAATGACCATGAAGCTGATCATATTTGAGATTCATAGCAACCACAAGGTTGGCCAAACCAGTTATTGCCGCAACTTGTTTGTCGAGAGCAGTAGCTTGCTTGTCAGAACTATCCTTCAGTTGACAGACAGTATCTTCCAAGCGCTTAGCTTCTTGACCCCTATTTCCATCCACCATGACCATTGGTGCACAGAGAAGAATTGTGTTCTGATACCAAATGATATGACCAGAAAGAAGAGAACAAAAAATTTAAGCCAATTCCCAATTCTAGTGGGAAACCTTCCACGGAGATTTGATGATTCAATTTTCTGATGCACAAACCCCTTCTACAGCTCCCCTTATAAGGTTCAAAGGAGCCTCATTAATTCCTATAATTATGCTATCTATTATTGACCTATTAATTCAAAAGAAAAATTGACGCATCCATTATCTCAAGATAATGGATTCACATTCACATGTCAAATTGAAACTAAAAATCCTCTTTGACTTCGGCAGCAGCCTTCATCAATCAGTACTCCTCTTTTGCAGCAACCCCAATCTTCTCTTAATTAAGAGATAATCTTGCACATAACATGTTTTACCGATTTTCCTCTAAGTACTGAGCTACCACAGAGATCTGGAACCCAAAAAGCCTTATATACAAAAACACCAGCATAACTTTTTTTTTTTTTAACATGAGCACCACCATAACATTAAACAAGATATATACACATCTATACAGAAACTAAATAAAATAAACAAAAATCTCATCTCGGTATCTTATAGAGAGAGAGAGAGAGAGAGAAAAGAAGACCGACATCGTTCGGGGCCAGGCCCTCCATCCGAGTAGAGAGAATCGAATCGGCCGGACATGCGGGCGTTGCGGTCGGAATCAGCAGCAGCTTCGCGGAATCCTCGGCCTTTGATTTTTTTAGGGGCGGAAGAAGAACCGCCGGTGATAGCGGACTTGAGCTTTGGGATAGGAGCCTTAGGCGAAGCATCGACGTCCACCGCACCGTCCTCGTCCATGAGATCGTCATCCTCGGGCTCAAAGTCCACCGCCTCCACCTCTGCGTTCGCCATTATTTCTCTCTCTCTATCTCTGTCCTCTCCCCAGAATCTCTCTTTTCCGGAGGAAGTGCTTGCGACTCTGCGGACCACTGCCTGACTGCCGAGGAACTTCTATTATATGTGCTTTGTAAAAGGGGCGAGGGTTGAGACTTGAGAGTCATTAAGACTTCGGAAGACAAATGAATAAAAACAAGGGTTAATCTCATTTTGCATTCCGAAAAATTGTTCGAATTTTAATTTATACCTTTAAAAATTAAAAATTTTAATTTATACCTTCAAAGATAAAAATTTATATCAATGTACACCCTCAAAGATTAAAAATTTTAATTTATACCTTCAAAGATAAAAATTTGTATCAATGTGCACCCCCAAAGATTAAAAATCTCAATTTACACCCTCAAAGATAGAAATTTATATCAATGTGTACCCCAAAGATAAAAAATCTCAATTTACACCCTCAAAGATATAAATTTGTATCAATGTACACCTAAAATTAAATTGATAAATTATACCTAAATCTCTTCATATTTGTCAGNCTTCATCAATCAGTACTCCTCTTTTGCAGCAACCCCAATCTTCTCTTAATTAAGAGATAATCTTGCACATAACATGTTTTACCGATTTTCCTCTAAGTACTGAGCTACCACAGAGATCTGGAACCCAAAAAGCCTTATATACAAAAACACCAGCATAACTTTTTTTTTTTTTAACATGAGCACCACCATAACATTAAACAAGATATATACACATCTATACAGAAACTAAATAAAATAAACAAAAATCTCATCTCGGTATCTTATAGAGAGAGAGAGAGAGAGAAAAGAAGACCGACATCGTTCGGGGCCAGGCCCTCCATCCGAGTAGAGAGAATCGAATCGGCCGGACATGCGGGCGTTGCGGTCGGAATCAGCAGCAGCTTCGCGGAATCCTCGGCCTTTGATTTTTTTAGGGGCGGAAGAAGAACCGCCGGTGATAGCGGACTTGAGCTTTGGGATAGGAGCCTTAGGCGAAGCATCGACGTCCACCGCACCGTCCTCGTCCATGAGATCGTCATCCTCGGGCTCAAAGTCCACCGCCTCCACCTCTGCGTTCGCCATTATTTCTCTCTCTCTATCTCTGTCCTCTCCCCAGAATCTCTCTTTTCCGGAGGAAGTGCTTGCGACTCTGCGGACCACTGCCTGACTGCCGAGGAACTTCTATTATATGTGCTTTGTAAAAGGGGCGAGGGTTGAGACTTGAGAGTCATTAAGACTTCGGAAGACAAATGAATAAAAACAAGGGTTAATCTCATTTTGCATTCCGAAAAATTGTTCGAATTTTAATTTATACCTTTAAAAATTAAAAATTTTAATTTATACCTTCAAAGATAAAAATTTATATCAATGTACACCCTCAAAGATTAAAAATTTTAATTTATACCTTCAAAGATAAAAATTTGTATCAATGTGCACCCCCAAAGATTAAAAATCTCAATTTACACCCTCAAAGATAGAAATTTATATCAATGTGTACCCCAAAGATAAAAAATCTCAATTTACACCCTCAAAGATATAAATTTGTATCAATGTACACCTAAAATTAAATTGATAAATTATACCTAAATCTCTTCATATTTGTCAGTTAATCATTTAGACCTCTTCACATTTAGAATATTACTCATATATCTTATGACATTTGTGCACGTATAACATGTAACTCGTTTTCATTGATATCTATTAATATAACCGTTAAAAAATATAATTTTATCCTAATAAAAAATTATAATTTCATATTACCCTTTATTTTATAGGTTCAATATACTATAAAGTTCAAAATTTAGTTTACCATTTGAATGTCTAATAAAATATAAATATTTATATAATATTTTTCATATTACCTTTTATATAAATATCTACATTTTATTAGACATTCAAATGGTAAGCTTGATTTTCAACTTTAGAGTATATCGAATCCACAAAATAAAAGGTAATATAAAATTATAATTTTATATTAGGATAAAATCATATTTTTTAACGATTATATTAATATATATCAACGAAAAGTGGTTATTTGTTACACATGCATAAACGTCATGAGATGTAAGGGGAATATTCTAAATGTGAAGGAGTTCAAATGATTAAGTGACAAACATGAGGGGATCAAGGTATAATTTATTAATTTAATTTTAGGTGCACATTGATACAAATTTCTATATTTGAAGGTGCAAATTGAGATTTTTGATCTTTGGGGGTGCAAATTGATTCAAATTTCTATCTTTGAGGGTGTAAATTGAGATTTTTGATCTTTAAGGGTGCAAATTGAGATTCGAACAATCTTTCGGAGTGCAAAATGAGATTAACCCTAAAATCAATGATAATAAAATTACCATATTACCCTTCTATCTATGAGGGATATTTATTAATTATGCCCTGCTCCGTATAAAGGATATAAAATTAAAATAACATAAAAATGTGAAAAATAGATTCTTCATATTTAAAAAAAAAAAAAATCTCCTTTATATTTGGTACGGTGAACAAAAAGTTATAAGAATTAATTTTCTATTGTTATGAAAAATGGAGGCGAAAAGAAAATATTTATATTGAAATTACCAATTTATCCTCACTAAGAATAATTTTGTTCTTTTCATTTTTGGTGTATGTGCAATGACATGACTGGTGACTCTATTTACTACTTACATATGTTGAATAGAAAAAAATAAAAAATAAAAATATGGCTATCACATGTGTTGTGATTGATGACATTTATACAAGATATTCCTTTCAAGTCATTTTCCATCCAAAATTGGACAGAATTTTTTTAGTGGGTGGGAGGTAAGCCTTTTCCATCTCATTTTCCACTCCATTTTACCTTTCAAGCCTTTTGGACCATGTTTTTACTTTTCATTCTTCCCATCATATTTTTCATCTCTCCCTTTTCATCTTCCCTATTTTTTTACCATACCAAACATAAAGTAACTTTCGAAAAATAAAATGGCATTACAATGGACCCCACTAATATTGTCCACTTGTACATAGAAAATGACAAAAAAAAGTGGGATGCACAAATTAAAATCTACCACTTTAAAAGGTCAAAATGCTAATTTCAAAGGACTTTTGCACCGATTACTTCTTCTGTCCATTTTCCACCCATTTTTTGAGTGATTAAAAATGGTGGGCGTAAAGGATATATTTTTTAACCACTTTTCCTTTCTCCTTAATTTTCTTTTTGTATCAAATGAAGAAAAATATCATTTTTCATCCACCCACTTTTCTACCAAACCAAGTAGGCCATTAGAGATTGGATGTTTTTCCACAGATCAAGTAAGGGGCAACCCAAGTGGCTACCGACTCAATTTGGATATGGTTAAATATAAGGATTTTTTGTGGCCGGCCTACTACAATAAAGTTTTGGACCAATAAGGTCATTGAGGACAATGTGCAGAGAAACACATGTAATTAATTTTCCTTATGCAGTTTATTGTTATTTATAAAACGTTAGATGGAATCTCCAATAAAATAGCAATAAACATGTCACCCGATANCTACCGACTCAATTTGGATATGGTTAAATATAAGGATTTTTTGTGGCCGGCCTACTATAATAAAGTTTTGGACCAATAAGGTCATTGAGGACAATGTGCAGAGAAACACATGTAATTAATTTTTCTTATGCAGTTTATTGTTATTTATAAAACGTTAGATGGAATCTCCGATAAAATAGCAATAAACATGTCACCCGATAACTGGAATTATGCTTAAAATTTAAAAACATAAAAACCAACTGCCATTTTGAAATAAGAATTCAAAATCATTGACAAACCATCTCCGAAATTCATTCAGAACAAGCAACAATATCTCTAGTAAAAGGGTTGTCACTACGACAAATATCTTCATCACGAAGACTGAAGGAATTTCGAATCAAATTCAAGTCGATCAATGTAAGAGGCAAAAAATTGAGAATACCTCCTACAGGGATTGAAAAATTGATGTGTTTCTAAACTCGATCTCTCAGTCTTCCCTTATCTATAAAACGAACAAACTGTCCAAGATCGAAGTGTTTCGATCGAAGACACTCCGATGCTTAAGTCAGTAATGATACTGGNCAAACTGTCCAAGATCGAAGTGTTTCGATCGAAGACACTTCGATGCTTAAGTCAGTAATGATACTGAAACGAATGGAAGAAGACCAAGAGAGTTCAGCATACCTTTCACCTTGGTCTCTTTTGCTTTTTATAGATCCTTGTCCCCTTAGGGTTTTCATAAATTTCGATTCAAGGTGGCACACCTTCCTTCAATTTAATCATTCAGTTTGAAAAGTTGTTGATATTTCTCCAACAATTCTTCCTCGGGTGTCGGGGTCGATAGAATCGATGGAGATGCTAATTATGCTTTCAGAATTGTAAACAATTCCTCACATTCCTGACTTCAAAATGCTCCCTTCTTTCCTTTGATTGATTGAAATAAGGGTCTGCACTTATCAGATGAGCGAGATATGAATCTCCCGAGTGCTGCTGTCATTTCTATTAGCCTCTGCACCTCTTTTACAGTCCGAGGGGATTGTAGTTCGGCAATGGCCTTCACTTGCTCGGGATTCACCTCTATTCCTTGGTGAGTAACCAGAAATCCCAAGACTTTCTCCGAGCCGACCCCAAATGCGCATGTTGAAGCGTTTAATTTCATATTGTACGTTCATAGAATATCGAATATGCTCTTGAGGTCGACACAATGGCTTGTGGCCTTTCGACTCTTCACTACCATGTCATCAATATAAACTTCTATTGTACTGTCTATCATATGTGAAAATATTTTATTCACCAATCTCTAATATGTTGCTTCAGCATTCTTCAATTCAAATGACATTACTTTGTAACAATATGTTCCATTTGGCGTTATGAAGNGGGATTCACCTCTATTCCTTGGTGAGTAACCAGAAATCCCAAGACTTTCTCCGAGCCGACCCCAAATGCGCATGTTGAAGCGTTTAATTTCATATTGTACGTTCATAGAATATCGAATATGCTCTTGAGGTCGACACAATGGCTTGTGGCCTTTCGACTCTTCACTACCATGTCATCAATATAAACTTCTATTGTACTGTCTATCATATGTGAAAATATTTTATTCACCAACCTCTAATATGTTGCTTCAGCATTCTTCAATTCAAATGACATTACTTTGTAACAATATGTTCCATTTGGCGTTATGAAGACAGTCTTTTCTTGATCTTCCTCTATCAGGGGAGATCTGATGGTATCCTCTGTAGGCATCTAGGAAACTCATTTGCTAGTGTCCAGTAGTGGCATCTACCAACTAATCTATCTTCGGCAAAGGGGAAACTATCATTTGGACATGCTTTGTTTAGGTCGGTGAAGTTAACACAGACCCTCCACTTCCCATTTTTCTTCTCTACTACAACAATGTTTGACAGCCAGGTCGGGTACTGTACTTCCCTAATTGTTCGGGACTCCAATAAACGTACTACTTCCTCCTTAACTGCCTCCTAAGGTTGAGGCGCCGACCTCCTTAGTTTTTGCTTGATTGGCTTGAAGCTTGGGTCGACGTTCAACTGACGACATGCTACTTCGGACAGTACGCCGGGCATATCAATAGTGGTCCATGCAAAAACGTCGGCATATTCTCGTAGAAAAGTGACGAGCTCAGTTTTCTGTTTGGGACTAAGAGTAATCCCTAACAAAAAGTATTTTCGTGATCCCCATTCTTGTCTAAAGGCACTTTAGTCAAGTCTTCAATTGTTCGGTCCGTAACTTTCTTTTCGGTGCCTAAAGGTACTTTAGGCCCTTCTTCGATAGCTTGGTCAGTTGGTTTAATCGAGCTATAAAAAAGTTAATTGTTATTTCGCCTCCTCGGACATTGACCTATTTTCGTGAGCTTTAACCCCTCCTTTGGGTTTGACCGAGGCTAACAAACAAGTTCTGGCACTGACCTGGTCTCTTCGGATATTTACTACTCCTTCAGCTGAAAAGAATCTCAGCATCTAATAGTATGTTGAGGGTATCGCCTTCATTATGTGTAACCAGGACCGCCCCATTATCGTGTTATATATCAAGACTATATCTACTACCAGGAACTCAGTCATGACACAAACTAGTCCTGTCTTTACAAGCAATGTGATATTCCCTTTAGAAAAAACTGTTTTGCCACTAAATCCAATAAGTGGAGTATTTGAAGACTTAAGATCCTCCTTCTTAAAACCAAGTTTCTCAAATAGATCTGAATACATGATTTCTGATGAACTCTCTGGATCAATCAACACCTTTTTTACATCAAAATTCACAATCCGAAGCACAACGACCAGGGCGTCGTTATGCGGTTAGTGAACTCCGACCAAGTCCTGTTCGGTGAAACAGATTGCTTCGGCTGACTTTTCTATCTTGATTCTTTTGTTGGTTACCTCCGGGGTCAACCGCAACTCATAGACTTCTCTCTCGTTGGCAGCTTTTTGAATATAAGCCTGAGCAAAATTATTTGTGGACATTTGTGGGTTGGTGGCAGCATGGATCAAATCAATTACTCATGTTGGAGTGTTGTGGTCCCTTTTTGTCTCGATCCTCCCTCTATTGGATTTTTGTTTACCTTCTATGAACTGGGCGAGATGTCCAGCCTGGACAAATTCCTCCAAATGATGCTTCAGAGATTGACAGTTTNTCCCTTTTTGTCTCGATCCTCCCTCTATTGGATTTTTGTTTACCTTCTATGAACTGGGCGAGATGTCCAGCCTGGACAAATTCCTCCAAATGCTGCTTCAGAGATTGACAGTTTTCAGTCATATGGCCCACATCCTTGTGATATGAACACCTGAAGTTTGGATTCCTTTTAGAAGGATCTCCTATTAACTTGTTCGGCCATTTGAAAAATGGCTTTGTCTTGATCTAGCTTAGTATCTTGTATATGGGTTCCTTGAACAACGTATTTACCCTAAAAAATGGAGACTTTTGAGGATATTCATCCTTCTTATTCTTCCTCCCTCCCTTTCTGTTTGACTCAGTCTGCTTGTCCCTACCGAACTGCCTCTTGCTCGGATGCTCTTTAACCCCATCTCTGNTTGAAAAATGGCTTTGTCTTGATCTAGCTTAGTATCTTGTATATGGGTTCCTTGAACAACGTATTTACCCTAAAAAATGGAGACTTTTGAGGATATTCATCCTTCTTATTCTTCCTCCCTCCCTTTCTGTTTGGCTCAGTCTGCTTGTCCCTACCGAACTGCCTCTTGCTCGGATGCTCTTTAACCCCATCTCTAGATAAGTCTTCATCAACTTTGACATACTTTTTAATCCTTGACATCAGCTCTTCCAGATCCGTGGCTGGCCTTCTTTTGAGCGACTGATATAGGGGGTTCTCTTTCGGCAACCCGATCTCAAAGGATGCAACTGTAATCTCTAAATTGCACCATTCGACCTCATTTATAGTTTTCTAATAACAATGAGCGTACTCTTGCAGGCTTTCATTATTCTTCTTCTTTAGCATCAGTAGTGCCCCAACATCCTTCGGCTGCTTACTATTCATTATAAACCGAGCTGTGAACTGCTCGACTAACTGAGACCACCCGTCGATCGTTCCTTTCGGTAGGCTGTCAAACCACTTCATGTCTAACTCCCCAAGACTGCTATGGAGGATACTACAGAGCATGGGCTCTTTTTTTCGATGAATGGTCATCAACTATCTGTAATGTCTGATGTGTGAGGCTAGGTCGGTCTTCCCGTCATATAGTTTGAAGTTTGGGAAGGTGAATTTGCTCAAAATCCATCCCTTTTTAATCCAAACTGCAAATGAAGATGACTATAAACTGTCTCCATATTCTCCTGTTGCTCTTCTGGCTAGGTCCCTAGCCGACCTCTGTTCTAGTCATCTCAGGCGGTTGTTAAGTTCATCAGTAATGTACTGTTTCCATGCAACCTCCTCCTGAACCCGAGGTTTCTTCTGCTAATGACGATTTTCATTGTTACTTCTGATTCTTTCAGGCTTCCTCTCAGGACTTTCCCAACGGTTCTCTCTCGCACGTTTCTCTTTCCTANCATCTCAGGCGGTTGTTAAGTTCATCAGTAATGTACTGTTTCCATGCAACCTCCTCCTGAACCTGAGGTTTCTTCTGCTGATGATGATTTTCATTGTTACTTCTGATTCTTTCAGGCTTCCTCTCAGGACTTTCCCAACGGTTCTCTCTCGCACGTTTCTCTTTCCTGTTCATCTCTTTTATCCTGGTTTTCAGCTCTTCATATTCTTTGATCAGATCTTTTTCCCTAGCATAAGATTTCTTGAACAACTTGTCATGAGCATCAAGTCTATCCTGCAGGGATTGAACCAACTTTTCAGAGAGTGGTTTTCCCCTTTGGCATGGAGGAATTCACCACNTTTTCCCTAGCATAAGATTTCTTGAACAACTTGTCATGAGCATCAAGTTTATCCTGCAGGGATTGAACCAACTTTTCAGAGAGTGGTTTTCCCCTTTGGCATGGAGGAATTTACCATGATCTTCAATTTGATGGTTCTAATTCTTTGAGGGCCTGAAACTGGCAGAGGACATCTGGTCGCCTTCATGGGATCTACATGGGCTTCTTCTTGCTTGCAACCGCACGTTGCTATTAGGAGAGAGAGATACAGGATCAGAGTCTCTCAAAGTAAAACTGCCTCTAGGTGATCCAATTGCCCTTCTGAGTTTTGACATTGTAGCTTTTTGTTGCGAAAGATGAAAATCTTCCCACAGATGATNGAAACTGGCAGAGGACATCTGGTCGCCTTCATGGGATCTACATGGGCTTCTTCTTGCCTGCAACCGCACGTTGCTATTAGGAGAGAGAGATGCAGGATCAGAGTCTCTCAAAGTAAAACTGTCTCTAGGTGATCCAATTGCCCTTCTGAGTTTTGACATTGTAGCTTTTTGTTGCGAAAGATGAAAATCTTCCCACAGATGACGCCAAATGTAAGAGGCAAAAAATTGAGAATACCTTCTACAGGGATTGAAAAATTGATGTGTTTCTGAACTCGATCTCCCAGTCTTCCCTTACTTACAAAACGAACAAATTGCTCAAAATCGAAGTGCTTCGATCGAAGGCACTCCCATACTTAAGTCAGTAATGATACTGAAACGAATAGAAGAAGACCAAGAGAGTTCAATGTACCTTTCACCTTGGTCTCTTCTACTTTTTATAGATCCTTGTCCCCCTAGGGTTTTCGTAAATTTTGATTCAAGGTGGCACACCTTCTTTTAATTCAGTCATTTAGTTTGAGAAGTTGCTGATATTTCTCCAACAATTCCNCCCATACTTAAGTCAGTAATGATACTGAAACGAATAGAAGAAGACCAAGAGAGTTCAGTGTACCTTTCACCTTGGTCTCTTCTACTTTTTATAGATCCTTGTCCCCTTAGGGTTTTCGTAAATTTTGATTCAAGGTGGCACACCTTCTTTTAATTCAGTCATTTAGTTTGGAAAGTTGCTGATATTTCTCCAACAATTATTCTTGATATCTACAATTTTGTTGATTCGTTTATCTGATTGCCTAAGTTATAGGCGAATCTTTATCTTTCCATCAATCATTTTGAACAGTTCGGACATAGCGAATGCCGAACAGACTCGATATTTGACGAACAGTTTTAGGGACCTGGCTTGGCACAAATCGGTCTTTTCTATCGCCTTTTCGAACACTTTAATGAACTCGGCTTGGTACAAGTCAAGCTCTTTCCTTGCTAAGCTGAACAGATTGATGAGTTCAGTCATAAAGAAAATCGAACTCTTTCTCTGATTGTCGAACCTTTAATTAGCTCGGTTTGGTTAAAAGGTTTAATAGAGGATTCTTCATCACGTGCATTGCTTTGTCAACACCACGTAAGCGCATTTAATGTCATATCACGTGTAATCATGAGGTTTAACCCCTTCAATCAACATAGCCTAGAAATCGTTTGGAGCCAGGCCCTCCATCCGAGTAGAGAGAATCGAATCGGCCGGACATGCAGGCGTTGCGGTCAAAATCAGCAACAGCTTCGCGAAATCCTCGGCCTTTGATTTTTTTAGGGGCGAAGGAAGAACCGCCGGTGATAACGAACTTGAGCTTTGGGATAGGAGCCTTAGGCGAAGCATCGACGTCCACCACACCGTCCTTGTCCATGAGATCGTCATCCTCAGGCTCAAAATCCACTGCTTCCACCTTTGTGNGTGATAACGAACTTGAGCTTTGGGATAGGAGCCTTAGGCGAAGCATCGACGTCCACCGCACCGTCCTCGTCCATGAGATCGTCATCCTCAGGCTCAAAATCCACTGCTTCCACCTTTGTGTTCGCCATTATTTCTCTCTCTTTATATCTCTGTTCTCTCCCCAGAATCTCTTTTTTCCAGAGGAAGTGTTTGCGACTTTGCATGCCACTGCCTGACTGCCAAGGAACTTCTATATGTGTTTTGTGCAAGGGGCAAGGGTTAAGACTTGAGAGTCATTAAGACTTCGAAAGATAGATGAATAAAAAAATGATAACAAAATTACCATATTGCCCTTCTATCTATGAGAGATATTTACTAATTATGCTCTCCTCCGTAGGGAGAATAAAAAAATAAAATGATAGAAAAGTGTGAAAAATAAATTCTTCATATTTAAAAGAAAAAATCTCCTTTATATTTGTTATGATGGATGAAAAGTTAGAAGAATTAATTTTCTATTGTTTAGTACAAAATGAAAAATGGAGGTGGAAGGAAAATCTTTATATTGAAATTACCAATTTATCCTCACTAGAAGAATTTTGTTCTCTTCATTTTTGGTGTATGTGCAATGACATGAATGGTGACTCTATTTACTACTTACATATGCTGAATAGAAAAAAAAATAAAAGTATAGCTATCACATTTGTTGTGATTGATGACATTTGTATAATAGGTCTTTCTTTCAAGCCATTTTCCATCCAAAGCTGGACGGAATTTTTTTGGTGGGCGGGAGGGACGGAGGCAAGCCTTTTGCATCTCATTTTCCACTCACTCCTACTTTTCACTCCAACCAAGCAATAGAAAATAATTCTTTTCATCATATTTTCCAGCATTCTCTATCTATCTTCCCTATTTTTTTATCATACCAAACATAAAGTAACTTTCGAAAAACAAAATGACATTACATTGGACCCCACTGATATGGTCCACTTGTACATAGAAAATGACAAAAAAATGTGGGCTGCACAAATTAAAATCTGCCGTTTTAAAGGTTAAAATGTTAATTTCAAAGGACTTTTGCACCAGCTGCTTCTTCTGTCCACTTTTCACCTATTTTTTGAGTGATTAAAAATGTTGGGCGTAAAAGATATATTTTCTAACTACTTTTCCTTTCTCCTCAATTTTCCTTTCGTACCAAACGAATGTCATTTTCCGTCTCATTTTTCATCCACCCACTTTTCTACCAAACCAAATATGCCATTAGAGTTTGGATGTTTTTTCACGAATTGAGTACTGGGCAACCCAAGTGGTTATCGATCCAATTTGGATATGTTTAAATATAAGGATTTTTTGTGGTCGGCCTACTATAAAAAAGTTTTGGACCAATAAAGACAAGTAGTGAACAGTTGGGTCATTAAGGACAATGGGCAGAGATAAGATGTAATTAACCTTCCCTATACGGTTTACTGTTATTTTTAAAATGTTGGATGGAATCTTCGATAAAATAGCAATAAACATGTCACCGATAACTGGAATTATGCTTAAAATTTAAAAACAAAAAAACCAACTGCCATTTTGAAATAAGAATTGAAAATCATTGACAAACCATCTCCAAAATTCATTCAAAACAAGCAACAATATCTCTAATGAAAGGGTTGTCACTGCAACAAATATCTTCATCACAAAGAAGGAGTTTCGAATCAAATTCAAGTCGATCAACATAGCCTAGAAAAAATCATAAAGTGAATATAATGAACAAATTTGGTTCAATGTTTCTAGGGTTTTCATTTTTGTAAAAAAATATGAAAAATCACAAACCTGACACTGTGATTTTGATCTTTCTAATTATCTAGGGTTTCATACCAAATACATTAACATTAAAAACATGAATTTCGTTAAAATTTTACAAAGAATAACCATTTAATATGTCAGAAAATGCAATAAATATACGAATTAATATTTTCACTATGTTGTATACCTTGTTTGTAATACATATGTTTGTTGTTGGCAAATTAAGTAGTAAAGTAGTCAAATTGTGTGATTGTAAAGATTTTTTTTGTTATTTTGTGAATATATGCTACATGAAAGATAAATCAAATAACGTCAATTACTTTGTTCTCACTATGAATTTGAACTATCATATTGAAAATTTGTCATGCGTGTCATATTGCATTATGTCAATTTTATGCCTTTTATGCTTTAACAAACTGAAATTTTGATCTGTCATCGAGATATAAGTTTATATTTTTTTGAATTTTTGCACTTACAACGACTATCACTGTGGAAATGTTTCATAATGAAATGTTTGAGAATCGTCAATACAGAAAAATGTTTGTAAAATGCTTTTTAAGTCTATCACTATGACATTATGTGTTCAATACAAACACACCCCAAAAAAAAAACATTATGTGAATTTTGTGTTTTTTTTTTGCTTTAATAAACTGATATTTTAATATGTCACTGTGATATAATATTATCTTTTTTTTGAATTTGTGCATTTACAACGTATATCACTATGACAATTCTTCATAATGAAACGATTGAGAAAATGTTTATAAAATGTTGTATACCTTTGTCACTGTGGAATATACATACACCAATTTTGTTTGATCTTCATTGGAAATGGAAATGGGGACTAAAATTATCTTATGATGGTAGGAAAAATGGCAAGGACCAAAATCCAACAACATCAAGATATGAGATAAAGTGTAGAACTGTGGAAGTTACTAGAGATGACTTTGAGGTTGAGACTTCAACTAAGAGGAAGCATCGTGCACGTTCAAAAAAGGATGTACCAAGAAAAAGTGTGTATAGGAGAGGAAGAAAAAGAATTACTCCTTCCAATATAGTTAAACTTGCAGGCATTAATTAAAACAATTGATGAGATCACCTTGTGGGAGAAATGCATGATTAAGTTCAGAAAAACTCCATTTTGGTTGCTGATTGATGCCATCGTTAACAAAGTTGTCGATGCAAAATCGTGCAAAAAAAAGTGATTCCGATGTGTTTAATCTAGAAAAATCAAATTTTGATATAGATGACAAATTTATGAAACTTAGACGAACCAATATCAGTATGATATTTGAAATTCAAAATGTTATGAACAAATTGATGCTAGAAAATATACAAAAGAAGACAACACGTTGATGTCAAGGCGATTCCACAGGGACAGTAGGCTAACTGCCCCACTAATAAAAGAAAGGTTGATAGCAACCACCAAAGGAAAACGTGTTAACGATTATGTAGATTTTGGTGACATTATTCCTATGCACAAGTGGTCACACAATTACTTAGGGGTATGTTGCATATGTGGACAACTTGGATGAATTAAAACTTTCGCTTGGTCATAGATTATTCTTGATTCACTAATGTCATATCTTGTCGAAAATGCAACAAATCCGACAAAGGTCATAGGTTGTGTTATGGCATTACTGGTGAGTATCGACTTCTATTGTAGCATTTAATTGCATACAAATACAAACTATCACTGTGATGCTAACTGTTAGTACTAAACCTCAAATGTTAAGGAAAAATTAACAAATTGCAAATGTGTTTCAAGTATTGGATATATGAGCATACCAGCATAATAGTTGCAGNACCTCAAATGTTAAGGAAAAATTAACAAATTGCAAATGTGTTTCAAGTATTGGATATGTGAACATACCAGCATAATAGTTGCAAACAAACCAAATGCATTGCCAAGGTTCATCAAGTGGAATCTTGGAAAGCTGAATAATGCAATCAAGGAGAGTAAACTTGAGCAATTGCAGCCAAACCAGGTATATCTGAAAAATCATATAAGTTTTATATATTTTTAATAGACCCTACATGTCATTTTTTATATCATGAAAAATGTAAACCATCTAATGTTATACAACGCAGGTTTTTAAAAAACAAGTTGAAAAGGGCAAGTTACGAGATAATTAAGTCACTGTCACTATGGGGGTTGAGGAAGATAATGAAGATATCAGTGACAACAAAGAACCANATATATTTTTAATAGACCCTACATGTCACTTTTTATATCATGAAAAATGTAAACCATCTAATGTTATACAACGCAGGTTTTTAAAAAACAAGTTGAAAAGGGCAAGTTACGAGATAATTAAATCACTGTCACTATGGGGGTTGAGGAAGATAATGAAGATAACAGTGACAACAAAGAATCCCACACTATCACATTTGAACGTGCAAAAATTGAAATTGATAAAGAATGCATTAACAAAGATGTCAGAGGGAGAAACAATGAAGGTTTTGAGATGAATGACAGTTTGGCACCATACAGTAGCAAGGGTAAAAGTGTTTTTGTCACTATGGTAGAAACAAACCAAGGACAAGATGCAGAAGAGAGTCAACATCTACTACAAGTAATTCAATATGATCCAGCAAGTACTTCTAGTGCCTAGGTTGACGAAAAGATCGTCGAAGAGAGACATGAAATGGATAAGTTGGTTGAGCCTCTTAGTGCACTGTTCGATGCAATTTGGCATGAGAACTCAAGGGAACGTCAAAATACGAGATCCACTCAAACCGAACCGATCGAGGAGTTTGATCAACAAGCAAAACTGCAAAAGAGTTTGGCGAATTAATGAACGCTGGTTTGAGTTTGGCGAACCACTGTCATGTAAATCCCTTGAGGGTGGTAAGAAAATCTCTGCACATTATTTCGTCTAGTATGTTATGTNGGAACGTCAAAATACGAGATCCACTCAAACCGAACCGATCGAGGAGTTTGATCAACAAGCAGAACTGCAAAAGAGTTTGGCGAATTAATGAACGCTAGTTTGAGTTTGGCGAACCACTGTCATGTAAATCCCTTGAGGGTGGTAAGAAAAGCTCTGCACATTATTTCATCTAGTATGTTATGCAGCTGCATGAGGGATTTATAAGTGTCAATGTGGTTCAATGGATCTTTTGAGCCAACAAAAGCTTTCACAGTTAGCAACTTGAACTTTTAAGGGAGATGGTAATTGGCCACATCAATCACGAATGGAATGTTAATACGCCTCAAAAGGTAGTTGACTGTTTCCGGCGCTCAAGCCTTGATGGCGTTGAAGACGTCGTCTAATTGATTTCTGCACCTTCTTGATTTTTTCATCCACTTTGTTAGGAATGCACCCTGAAGGATAGTTGTAGTGACTTTTGTGGTCCATGTACTGGTTTTTCCCCTCGTCTTCTTGCATAGGAAGGTCACCAATACAGGAGGACGAAGCCAGCACGTGAAGAGGGAGAGTTGGGGCACCTAGGCACTGAGGAGGGATGCTTTAATGCTTGGGGGCGCCCTACTAGGGGGCACCTTGGCATCCTGTTGGGATTGCCTATGGTGCTTCTCCTACTAGGGGCTAGAGCACGACTTCTTGGGTTTCCGACGAGTGTCAACCGAAAAATTTGTTGGTTTTGGTTCACCAACAACTACATTGTCTCTAATAGTTGTTGTCCGACTACAAGATTTGCCACATTGATAGGGTTCACTAACGGAGGTTGGACCACGTCGCAATATGGTGGATCATTGTCTTCCATTTGTTGATTTATGGACCTAGTTANTACATTGTCTCTAATAGTTGTTGTCCGACTACAAGATTTGCCACATTGATAGGGTTCGCTAACGGAGGTTGGACCACGTCGCAATATGGTGGATCATTGTCTTCCATTTGTTGATTTATGGACCTAGTTATAATAGCTATAAAATGGAAAGAAAGTAGTAAGAAATAGAAAGACAGTAAAAAACTTAGTCGTTCCCACAGACAGCGTCAACTGATGAGACAAAAAACGTGTTTATGCACCACCTGTCATGTATTAAATACAGTAATAAATGATGAGATTCAACATAAACAAAACACAGTTTTAAGCAGTTCAATCAGGGTGACTTACTCCACTGTGAAAAACTAAGATGACCTGAATATTTTAATGCTCAAGAGGCGTAGAATACTTAGATGTGGANTGTATTAAATACAGTAATAAATGATGAGATTCAACATAAACAAAACACAGTTTTAAGTAGTTCAATCAGGGTGACTTACTCTACTGTGAAAAACTAAGATGACCTGAATATTTTAATGCTCAAGAGGCGTAGAATACTTAGATGTGGATAAGATATGAAAGATGCTCCCCTTATGTAGGTGATGCTTACAATCTATAGGCGCTTCCTAATAGATTGAAACGTCTTTCTTGTATCAGGTGAGGTAGTTTGGTAAAGATAACACCTTTCTCGTAACAGGTGAGACAATTATGTAAAGGCGGTGATGTGCACGTCCCAACGAGATCTTCTTGCATGTCAGTTGTGCACTAAGTCTCTTGCTATGAGGCAGCTAACCTGACAAAATATCTCGATTGACCTGACCTAACTTCCTCTTTCCTATGGTAGGTCTGACCTGCATTCCTAAATTGGGCATCTGAGATGGGTTTGTTTTGTAATTTTGAACTTGGTCCATAATTCTAGGGGTAGTCTAGGTTGGGCCCATCAATTATAACTGAATTTATGCTCAATCTAATCAAATGATCAAATAGATTTGAGTCAATTTCAAAAACCAAATGAATGATTTTAAAATAAAATATATGCATTTATCATAAAAGATAGATATTGACCCACTCAATACATGTATTGAGCAAAAAAAAAGGACTAGAGAGAAAGTGCACAATGCTAGCTACACTCTTAATATAGCTATCACAAAAAAAAAATTAAAAATTGAAAGATTTCAGACAAGAGTTAAAGACAGCATAGAACCATATGCATTACACATTCGATCTCCCACTCAGGCTTGAAAACCTTGACTATCTCACTTGGGATTTTCGCCCACTTCACATTGCAACCAGACCACAATCTTTTTGGTATTATAAGGGGACAAAACAATACACGTTAATAAGTTATTATATATATATATATTCTCCTAGTGTAATCATCCCCCTTGTAAAAAAATCTCTGTAACTACTTTAAACTATAATTTAAAATTGCATAGGTCAAGGTGAGGTGTAAGGTGCGCAGTACTCCACAGGTCGGGCTTGCACCTCTTTATATAGAGTCAGACATGAAATTCGTATTTCAAAACTAATCTATACTATTCATAACTTTTTACTGTACACAATTTTAATAATATACATTGACGTCATTACATGCGTTATCATTACTATACATAGCTCTAATAATATCTCCTCGTGACATCATGGCGTGCGTCATTTCTTCAGGGTCGGCTTTATCCGAGAAGAAATCAACTTTATCTGATTATTTCCAGTAAATCAAATTATACAGCATATTACCGTTGTCATTATGGAGGTTTATCTTCATATCATCATTACGTAAATCTTCATTAATAGAAACGTCACCTTTAAGAGGGTTATATCCTTGAAAATCCATTAAGTCGTCATCAGACTCAATAAGAGTGGGTGTTTTCCTATTATCCTCCTCAACTTTATCTTTCTCTTTGCCTTTTATGACAACTGGTAGAGTTTTAGCAAGATCCATCTTTTCGGTTTTGCCCATGCCAAAAGTAGACATAACCTGAAGACACATCTCTTTCATAATTACGACTTTAAGCTGCTCAGTATTTAAATGAAAATTTTCTTTTTTAATTTATTCTTTAAGAACTTCAGCAAGATAAAATCCAATGTTTATACTAGTACTGCGAATTATAGTTGTGGAAGTTGAAGGTTTATCTTTCTCTTTATCCATGTCTTTAAGACATTCTACTATGACTTGACATTTAGATTCAAGTGGATAGTTATTCCAAAAACGAACCTGGTATTCCCTGATTAGTCTGGAATGTCCGTTCTGATTATAATCACAAGCCAAAGTCCACACACAAATCCAATGAACAAAGAATTCGAGTGAGAAATTAATTATTGGCATGGCTGCAATATTATTGTCCTTTAAGGACGGACTCTTGTTTTTGTACGAGTCAAATAGCTTTTTCTTAGGTTTAGTATATATCCTTTCAATAGCACCATGAGTTTCCCACCAATCATAAAACTGCACAGAAAACTTTAAATAGCAATAGAAAACTTTAACACCGCACCTTCTTTAAGCACCTTATATTAAATAAGGTACTTAAAGAATAGGTGCATGCCCGACCTGTGGAGCACCGCACCTTGACTACACCTTAGACTCTCTAGCATAAGACCTCTCCCTACGTCTCCTTTTCTTCTTTTCTTTTCCACCTACCTCCCTTGTCCATAAGCCATCCTCCCTTGTAAATATTCTCCTAATGTAATCATCCCCCTTGTAAAAAAATCTCTGTAAGTTTCCTTACTCTTGTACTAGCTTGCCTTGATATATAAATAAAAGCTAGACTTTTATTCCCCTTTTTCGTATCTAATATATCTTTGCACGATCCTGTTCGTTTATAGTATCAGAGCCAAGGATGGTAGCTTAAATTTATTCTGTTAATTTATTTACAGATTTATTACTTATTCTTGTTGCGTAGGTAATTGTGATTTTATTCTGTTAGACTAATGTTATTTTAAATTTGTTATATTAATTCTGTTATAATGGTTTTCTTTTGTTCCTATAGTTCTGCACCCAAGTCGCGTGTGGGATGTTGAGACTCTATCAACATTCGGCATACAGAGTAAGGTGATGTAACGTACATATTTAATGTAGTTATACTCCATAGCTATGCACGATCCTGTCCTCAGTATAATGCGTCATCATTATACTGATATAGATTTACTCTTGCATGCCATGACGTCATGAGGAGATATTATTAGAGTTATGTACAGTAATGAGGACGCATGTAATGACATCAATGTAAATTATTAAAGTTGTGTACAGTAAAAAATTGTGAATAGTATAAGTTAATTTTAAAATTTAGATTTCATGTCCGGCTCTATATAAAAAGGTGCAGGCTCGACCTGTGGAGCACTGCACCTTGACTACACCTAAGACTTTCCAGCATAAGACCTCTCCCTACGTCTCCTTTTCTTTTTCTTTTTTTCCACCTACCTCCCTTGTCCATAAGCCATCCTCCCTTGTAAATATCCTCCTAGTGTAATCATCCCCCTTGTAAAAAAATCTCTGTGAGTTTCCTTACTCTTGTAATAGCTTGCCTTGATATATAAATAAAAGCTTGACTTTTATTCCCCCTTTACGTATCTAATATATTTTTGCATGATCTTGTTCGTTTATGGTATCAAAGCCAAGAATGGTAGCTTAAATTTATTTTGTTAATTTATATGCAGATTTATTACTCATTTTTGTTGCGTAAATAACTGTGATTTAATTAAGTTAGACTAATGTTATTTTGAATTTGTTATATTAATTATGTTAAAATGGTTTTCTTTTGTTCCTATGGTTCTACACCCAAGTCGCATGTGGGATGTTAGGCCGTTTGTCCGAGTGATAGGAGTGAGGCCGTTTGTAATCCCCATAAATCGTTGACAACAAGAGTAGAAAATTGGAAGAAAATCACTATGGTGGAATTATTATAGCAAGAGTCAATATAACATTACTGTAGCGGAATTAAAAGACGAATTACTGTAGCAACATGAAGGTAATAATAAAACATATAGATCAACAGAAAACTTTTTGAAGAACAATTAGTATGGCCTTCCACCCAAATGCAGAATTTTATCAGATAAACCAGTTAAATGAAATTCA